TGGTCTACATAATTCTTAAAATAAAGCCTTGCTACTTAAGTGAGCCTGAAAGAAGTGTGATACAGCATGTTTTTGCCAAGTTGTAGGTTTGTCTCCATTTTAGAAAATCAAATACTTATGCCACCTAGTGTCTGTCAAGGAAAGCACAGAAACATTAAAACTGTATCTCCAACAAAATCAGAGTGGCAGATCCCAATCTACTGAGCTTACATATGATTTATTCTATTCATATGACACATCTCCCCATGATGACATGTTGTCCCTCATTTGAACCTCACCATAGAGCAACACTAGCATCAGCCTAGACAGGGATTTGGTACTCCTCATTCATACTGGCTAATTCCCCATTTCTCAGGGGAAAAAAAAATGTTTCTCTCATTTCCTCATTTCTCTGTTCATTGATATAATATCAGAAAATTCTTGAGTTGGAAAGGATCTTAAAAATAATCTAATGCAAACTTCTCATGAAATTCCGCCAAGTAGTAGCAGATTCATCAGAAAAACACAAGCCTCTTTCCTCCCAGTAAAAAGCTTCTGATATGATGTTGACCATACCTTATCTCATAAAATTTACAATTAATTAAGGAGACAAGACATAGCTAAGAGAAATAGCTAAGAAGCACAAATAAAAGAAAGAAAATACTGTGAAATCTATCAATGAATATATTCAGTACTTTTCGTAATTTGTCATTTGAAATGGAGATTATTGGTATAGTTATATGTTTATTTACTTAACTGATCAAAACAAAAATAGGGCAGAGGTTGTTTTCCATAACATTGTGGAACTTGGCTAAGAGCCATGGCATCAACTGGGAAAGAACCAGGCAGAGGAAGGTCTTGGACTGAAGATAGGGGCTGGCTTGTACAGAGTGGCAGGGGTTCCAAGATGCCATAAATTAGTATACTAATAAATATGTAAAGAGTACCAATTTTGAGGGAAGAGTAGCGCATTAGCAGTAGTGATGAATAGTGACAGTCATAATCAAGTGAGGCAGTGATCGGGCTGCTAGTTGAAGTTTGAATGGCAGAGTTGCCTCTAATCCTGGGAGAGGAACTGCTGAGAAAAATTAGGATAGCATTATGTTAGACTCTTAATTTTACTGGTGCAATGGAAGACTTGGGTTCCAGATGTTAATTGTGCTATAACAAGCCACCCCACAGTGCCTCCTCCCCCCTCAAAAAAAAACCCTGAAGGCTGTGGTTCAATATTTCAATGTAGAACAACACAGGAGCACTTAGAACCACACTGAGTCACTTCGAGTTCACAGAACCAGGGAACTTGCCCTATCATTTCGTATACTAGGCTTATGTGTACTAGCAAGATTGTCTCTAGCTGTTTTATATTAGGGAGATGTCTCCTATTGCACTTTCTACTCAAGATTCCTTCATTTAACACTGTTTACTGAGGGCTTACCCTGTGCTGAGCACAGTGATGGTTTCTAACACAATAGTTAAAAACAAAATACATTTTCTGCCAACATGGAACTGCAATTTTGATGAAAGTTAGATGCAACTACAGGATAAACTAGATAAATTAGATGAAACTACAGATTAATCTCTTAATTGTCTGCTAGTAAGTGTGGCTGGAAAGTCATATATTAACTATGACAGCTTAAATTAATTTTATAATTGATACTCTGTAGAAGTAGATTCAAATAACACCCCCAAATTCAATATCTTTACCATAATATTTAAAAACTAAAGTAGTTTTTGCCAGTTGTAGACATTAAGTTAATAATTAAGGAGAAAACATCCCTTGTAGCAATATAGCAAATAGAGAGCAAAGGGATTTCATTAAACAAGTGAAATTGAACCAAGAATGATAGAGGAGCAGGCAAAAATAGAGCATCACAGGATAGTTTGTTACTCAGAGCCTGCTGAGAAATGGACACTCCTCAATCCACTTTTCTCTGAATGTATTAATGTCTTACTTCAATGGATATTGACTGATTCCCAATAGGCGATACCATAAAGATTTAAGGAGTGAATGAGTGAATGAATGAATGCATGCCAATGACGCTTATCACAGGCTGTCCTCTATTCTCTTTGGCCTGTGATGAGAAGTGGAGTCGGCAGTCAACCTAATTCTTCACTCACTTTCATTAGCAATTTGTACCCTAAGTATAATCTTCTCACCACTCCATGCTGTTTTAATCATTGGTCACTATAAGCTTCGAAAAATTAAAAAATATATTTTCATTAAAAAGCAAAAAGGTTGAAGAACTGCAGAATAGAGAGTTAATCAAGACTTTCAATTCTATTAAATCTGATGTGGCAGCTTTAAGCACACACCCGCCCATCTTATTGACAATACAACAGACTGAACTTCTCAAAATGAATGACAGCTCCATTTGCCAGGCAGCCATTTTGAGTGGCAGTTTCACTTGCACTATGTCCATTTTGAGTGGCATCTCAACATCAAGAACACCTAGTTTGATTGACAGCTTCACATACAAGGAAGTTAAGCCAAGATATCTCTGAGAAGCTGAGAAGAAGGTGTGAGAGAGATGTGTTTTGGGGCTTTGGATCCTTCTCCATCCTTTATTCTGTGAATAGTTCATCATCTCTACTTAAAAGAGTATAAAATACACACATGTAAAGAAGACAAGACTTGATTTCTCACAGCTGTGCTTCAAGTCAACACAATTTTGTGTTGTGCCACGGGGAAATGTTTGTATCCCTCTAAATGATATAAAACATAATCATGTTCTAAGTTATTATTGAAATTTTAGTTACACCTACTAAATTGTCTAATTGTTTCATTAACCATCAAAAGACCCAACACTTTCTACTTTTCATAGTAATTTCCACGCTATTTTAGCAAACATTTTTTACTTTAGATTTGATTTCACTGAAAAACACAAAGGATCCAATAACAGGAAATGGCTTCCTAAAATGTTCATCTAAGCCATACTAAAAACTAAAATTACTTATTGAGCACCTACTATGTGAATAACACAGTGCTAGGAACTGGTCATTAGAAAATACAGTGACTGGAGGAAGATTTTTCAAAAGTGTTTAGCAATAGTACACCCATAGATGAATTATTGTGTTAAGTTTTAGGCACTACTTATTAAGGAGATTATGAAGTTAAAATACACAGAGTATGGCAACTAGGGCAGTGATGAGATAGGAAATCATATTACATATGATTTGAGTCAATGAACTTGGATGTTTTAGGAAAAAATATGGATTTAAAGGAACATGAGAGTCAATATCAAATAACTAAAGGAGTACCAATTTGGAAGAGAGAAGATACTCATTTTTTTAATAATAAGCTGAAAACAAAGAGGAGAAAACAAGGTTCTATGGTTAGAAATCAGAGGGAGGCAAAATTAAGCTAAATATAAGAAAAAATTTTCTAACAATTAGAGGAAGTAAAAATGTAATGGTTTAGCTCTTAAATACCATTAGGAATTAACCTGAAAAGAATGTTATTATTATCACCAATTGTTATTATAACAATAACTCACCCATCTAGTGATCTTCGGGGCTCTTTTAAAATATATATTTTCTAATTTTCTCTAACAATTTCCAATTAGATTGTGTTAGTCTGTTCAGGCTGCTATAACACAATACTGGGTGACTTATAAACAACAAAAATGTATTTCTCAAAATTCTGGAGGCCGGAAAGTCCAAGATCAAGAAACTAGAAGAACTTGCTTCCCAGTTCATAGACAGCTCAAAATTCTGGAGGCTGGAAAGTCCAAGATCAAGAAACTGGAAGATTTGGTGGTCGGTGAGAACTTGCTTCCTGGTTCATAGACAGTCCTCATTCTCCACGTCCTCACATGACAGAAAATGGGCAAAAGATAGCTCTAGGATCTCTTTGATAAGGGCATTAATCTCATTCGTGAGGGCTCTGCCTTCATGCCTTAATCACCTTCCAAAGGTCCCACCTCCAAATATCATTATATTGGGGATTTGACTTTCATGTATACATTTTAGGAGGACAGTTGAGTAGGCAGCCAACCTAATTCAATCTATAGCATAGATTCACACACACACACTTAAGTAATTTGCCTAAGATGATATGGCTAAATTTTTATTTAAATTATGTCTATATTATGCTAAGTGAAATAAGTCAGGCAGAGAAAGACAAATACCATATGATTTCACTTATATGTGGAATCTATAAAAAAAAAAACACACACAAAATAAATGAACAAACAAAACAGAAACAAACTCATAGATACAGAGAACATTTTGATGGTTGCCAGATGAGAGGGTGGTAAAGGGGTAAGGGATTAAAAAGTACAAAATAGTCATAGGGATGTAAAGTACAACATAAGGAATATAGTCAATAATATAATAACTATATGTGGTGTCAGATGGGTACTAGGTTTATCAGGGTGATCACTTTGTAAATTATATAAATGTCTAATTACTATGTTGTATACGTTGTATGCCTGAAACTAAGATAATATTGTATGTCACTGTAATTGAAAAATAAACACAATTAAAGAAAAAAAAGTATTTCCAGAATGTGTATATGGTTGCATTAAATGATCTCTTACTCTTTTTCCAAGTATCTATTGAATTCTATAGAATTCATCAGATATATAAGAGAAAACACTAACAAAGAATATAATCTACCTAATGCTCAGGACATACGTTTTCCATATAAATAATGCTATACATTTGTTTAATAACGTTTAAGTGAGGAGATTAGACTCTGTGACCTTGCCGTTTCTTTCAACACTAAGCTTATGTAGATTATCTATCAATCTAGCACCCTTAAATTTTTATAGTACTTTCTCAACAGTTTTCTTGTTTGACACCAATAAACATCTTGTGAAAGGAGAATGATCGGTATTAACATTTCTATGTTATAGACAATGAAATAGCAGCCCAGTGAAGTCAAGAACCTTTTTAAAAGTCACCAAGGACTTAAGCTAGAGAGCCCACATTGAACGTGACCTTCTGGCTGCCGATCTAGAGTTCCTTCTACGAAACCCCACCACTTTAATTTCATTTTCTTTTTTCCTTTTCTTTTTTTTCAGGGGGGAGCACGAACGTAGTCCCCCACTAGCAGAAATTATGCAGTCGAGTCTCCCATATGTGGGGAAATCATAGCAGGCAGCACGGCCGAGTGCGATGGCAGAGCCTCGCCCTGGGAGAACCACCTTTGGGATCATGATGTCTCCCCTGTATCATTTTCATTTTTTAAAATGGTGTTAAAAATCCTTCCCTACTTTCCTTCCCAATCTTCCCAACATATTTTTACTTTCACAGATTCAAGCTGCTGATTGGGTGCTAGCCAGAGTGTCCCTGTCTCAAGCTCATAACCTGTGATAGTTTCTTATTGAACACTAAATCAAATATATAATTTCTATCTCAGTTTTAAAGAGTTCTATAGATTGGTCACACATTACTTTTCCAGGCTTACTTCATAATAGCCTCTGTATCAGCCTGCTCAGGCTGCCATAACAAACAACCAGAAACTAGGTGGCTTAGACAATAGAAATTTGTTTTCTCACAGTTCTGGAGGGTAGAAGTCGAAGATCAAGACGTAGCAGTTTGGGTTTCTCCTGACACCTTTCTCCTTGACTGTCTTCTTGCGGTGTGTCCTCACAGGCATGATCTTTCCTCTGTGCATATGCTCTCCTGGTGTTTCTTTTTGTGTCCAAACACCTCCTGGTGTTCTTTTAAGGACACCAGTCATACTGAATTAGAAACCATCTTAATGGCTTCATTAGCTTAACGGGCACCCGATTTAGCCTGTCACGGCCTCTAACCGGACCTTACGCTTAAGCCATAAATGCAGAATTCTCATTCCCTAAATAAAACCTATATTTTTCCACCACTTCATCTTTGAACTGAATATCTTTGAGATGAGAGGTTGGGATTGCATATGTCTAGTTAACTCAGTAACAAAGAAGAAAACCAGGGCTTTCTAAAAAGAAAAATTAGCTGACCTACCCAAGGACTGCAAGCTGATCAGTCAGTAGCACTGTAAGAATTAGAAAAATCCATGGAGAGAGAGCAGAGGCTTTATACTAATGGTCATGTTTCCTGTCAGCTATTCTATCTAGCCGATATAAGTGAGACTCCCAGTCATTTTTACCAATCAGAATTTTATTTGCTCTAAAAAGATTCCTTACATGGAATTTCTCGGATGAAGACCTTCTTGATTTCCCTAGCCAGAAATTAACCTTCTCTTTTCAGAAACGTAAGGCTTTACCTTATAGCGTTTCCCATGTTATAGTTATATATGTATTGTTTTAACTCTCCTATCTGATGTAAGTGTCTCAAGCAGTGAATAAATGAAAAAACGAGTCATTTGTTTCTCCATGATAGCACCTAACGCCTTGGTTTGCATATACACATACCAAATGCTCAATAAATATTTACTGCATCAGATTACTTTTTAGATATCAACTCCATTATAAAACTGCCCCAAGTAAAATAAAAAAGTAGTACTAAGAAGAAGCAGAAGAAGTCCATAGATATTTCAGATGCTCTCAAGTCAGGAGCTCTCAGAACATTTTTCTGTCACAATACAGATGCTCCTCAACTTACAATCAGGTTATGTCATGATAAATCCATCATAAAATAAAAATATCATAAGTCGAAAATGAAGTCAATACACTTAACCTACCAAATCATAACTTAGCCTCGTCGATAACTTAATCCTGCTCCGTGCACAAAATCCAAAAAACGTTGGCAACACAATGCACTGTAGAACATCCGTTGTTTACCCTTGTGATTGCCTGACTGACAGCCACGGCTAGCTGCTGCTGCCCAGCACCATGAGAAAGTACTGTACTCCATATTGCTAGCCCCTGAAAAGATCAAATTTCAAAATTTCAAGTATGGTTCCTTCTGACTGTGCATAACTTTTGCACCATCATAAAGTCAAAAAATTGTAAGTTGAACCATTCTAAAATAGAGAGAGACCATCTCTAATTTATTTTGAATTTTACTTAGCAGTTTACATAGTTCTCACTCCCCAACAGGAGGCTGTGAAAACCTTTAGGGCAAATGTGTCTCATTAATCTTTGTATCCTTAATACTCAGGCTGGCATATAGTAGATGCTATGAAAGTACTGAATGAGTACATGTGTGACTGAAGAGGCCTTCGTACTCACAGCAATCTAGGATTCAGATGTGTGACTTCCAAAGGAAATGCTTTGTATGTAAAGATATCAAATGGGGATAGATTGCCATCTAGTGGTCAATATGCAGAAATGCTATCAGAAAAAGGAACAGGATATTTGAATTTTTACTGGGCTGCTTACACCCTCATAAATGTCTAACTATTGAAAAGAGAATATTTTTGTAATTGCATAAAACTTCCTACAACAATACAGAAGTTATAGATCCCTTATCATATAATATTTTTTTAAAAAAACATTTCTTTGATGAAAAACAGTAAAAAATTCTCTGGACTTGGTGAAACCAAGATGTATCCTCCAGTGAGCTCAAATGTGTATCCATCCTTTCAAATATTGTCCCTCTTGTTATTCTCATTCCTCTCTTCTCACTTTTATGTCAGTTATTCTAGTTAATGTTCTACCAGTGGACACAGACAATCTCTTTAATCTAGGCAACTTTTATTTACGTAAGCATAGTCTCTCTCTCATTATCTTTATATTTTCTAAATATTAAAAATGTTTTAGGACACCAATGATTTTTTTTGTTGAAAAGCCTTAAAACTAGAATTTATGTTTATCTGTTTGTATGTTCTTTGCACTGTGTGTCTCTGAAATTGAAAATAGGACAGTAGGTCTTAGAAGTGCTACTGCCAATAATTGTATGGTTTGAATGATCTTGAAAGCTATGTCCCATCCCTGGCCATATAGTCCATATTTATGCAAAAAATTTAAAAACATCATATTATTAAGACATATTTATTTAGTGTTATTCTATTGAAATAGTACATTTGATTTATACAGAAGTTTAACATATGGCCCCAGATTCTGGAAATATTTTAATATATTATTGGAGCTCGTGTTTTTATTTTAAAAATCTATGTTAGCAACACTTCCAGTTCCAGTCATAATAGAGTTTTAGGTATTGAACTTATTCCAACACCATAAAAAATAAAGTAATTCAATACAAAATATGTGAAGCAACTCTTTTCAGGTATTACAAAATAGGTATCAAAGGACTAATTCTTGAGAAGAAAAAAAAAACACATGAGGTAGTTCCACATTCACACTGGCTTTCTGCCAAACCATCATAGCAATAGAAACAATTCAAAATAAAACACAGACATTAAAAAGACTGAAAAAAATGAGCAGAACATCAGTGAGTTTGGGGAAAACACCAAGCACTTTAATATATGTGTAACTGAAGTCCCCAAAGGAGAGGGAAGAAAAAATATTTAAAGACATTATGGCCAAGATATTCTCAAATTTGGTGAAAATCTAAACACACAGATCCAGAAAGCTCAAAAAAGCACAAACACAGAAAACATTAAAAAAAGAAAGAAAAAAAAAAACTATACGAAGACACATCATAATAAAATTACTCAAAGCTAATATTAAATATCAAATCTTAGATGCAGCATAAGAAAAAAATACACACAGAAAAACAAAGATAAAGATTATAGCAGATTTCTCATGGAAAACAATGCAAACAAGAAGACAATGAAGCAATATCTATAAAGTACTGCAAAGAAAAAAGCTTAACCTAGAGTACTATAGTTAGCAAAAGTATCTTTCATAAATGATGCTACAGATTGAATGTGTGTGTGCTCCTCAAATTCATATTTTGAAGTCCTAATCCCACAAAATAATGGAATTAAGAAGGCAGTGGGGCTTTGAGAGGTGATTAGGTCAGCCTCAAGAATGGGGTTAATGTTCTTAGAAAAGAAACACCAGAGAGCTCTCTCACCCTTCACACAATGTGAGGGCACAGCAAAAACACGGCTGTCTGTCAACTGGGAAGTAAGCTTTTACCAGACACTGAATCGGCTGCAGCCTTGATCTTAGAATTTTTAGCCTCCAAAACTATGAGAAGTAAATCTTATTGTTTATAAGTCACCCTCATCTATGGTATTCTGTTACGGCAGCCTGAATGGACCAAGAAGTGGAAGTACTACAGCAACAAATATCTAAAAATGTGGAAGTGGCTTTAGAACTGGGTACTAGGTAGAGGCTGAAAGTGTTTTGAGGTGCATGCTAGAAAAAGTCTACATTACCGTTAAAGGAGCAATTCTGGTGTGAACTCAGAAAGAAAAACAGGAGAGCTTTAGAGAAAGCCACAACTTAGAGAATATCTAAATAATTATGAGCAGAATGTTGCTAGAAATATAGATTAGTAAAGGCCATCTGAGGAGGTCTCAGATAGAAATAAGGAACAGGGTACTGGAAAGGGAGGAAAGGTGGTTCTTATTATAAAGAAATTGAATTGTATTTGTGTTCTAGTGTTTTGTGGAAGATAGAAGTTGTGAAAGATGAAATTAGTTATTTTTAGCTGAAGTCAATTCTAAAGAAAATGTTGAAGATGTGGCTTGGCTCTTCCTGCTTGTATTAAAATACAAGAGAAGAGAAAATTCTTAGACAGAATTGTTAAGCAAGAAAGAACTAGAACTAAAGATCTAAAAATTCTTGGCCTATTCATTCTGCAAAAAAAAAAAAAAATGAGAACGCTTGTTCAGAAAACATTAAGGATGTGATCAAGCAACTCTTTGACGTCTCAAAGGAGATTAGTAAGGGTATAAATTGTGGACCTAATCAGCCACCTCAACAGACACAAGGTGGTGTTCTTCAATATAAGAGAAGAATGAACCTGAAAGTGATTCATAGATCACTTGGGCTGCTGCTTTGGTTTCAAAAGGGGGAACCATCACTTTGCTTGCAATAGGACAGATGGCCTACTTCAAAGTTATGGGACCCAACCCCTGTCCAGCAAAGCTGTGAGGAGCAGGACCACCATCTCAGTGGGCCTAGAACAGAGACCACCAACCTAGTGCACCTGGAGGGCAGAGCTTCGAGGCAAAGAGGAATATTCTTGAGCCTTAATATCTTACAGAGTTAGCCTTGCAGTTTGGACTTACTTGGGACCCATGGATTCTTTCTTTCCTATTTCTCCCCTTTGGAATAGAAATGTCCATCCTGTGCTTTTCCCACCATTGCATTTTGGAAGCACATAACTCGTTTGGTTTCATAGGTTCATAGCTGGCAAACCATTTTCCTCAGAATGAATTATAT